GACCCCACCCAAACCCACACCCGACCAAGAAACCCCTACCCACCCTCATTTGCACCCTTTTCCCTTCATTTTCTTGCGGGCGAAGCTGCAACAGGTACCCTTGTGTGATAGTGTTTTTGCTGCATGTCTTTTGCGAAGAATGTAGGCTTTTCTCCTCCATGTACTCTTTTATTGCTTCTCTGTTTGCAAATGTGCTACTAGTCATGTGATGAAATGCTTCCACGATCACTTCTTTGCGTCTCCTATGGGTTTTCGGGATTTCATGACCGGCCAGTCACCGTGGCGTGACGCCTGGGATACCCGGGGATAGAGGAAAAAATAAAATAAAATAATTTCTGCGCTCTCCGAGAGGAGCCCCAATCTGGGCTCTTTTCTTTTTTTTGAGTGTTGGCTGTCAAGGGGGGGGGGGGGAAGGTGGGTATACATTGTTTTTAAATGGGCTAAAGGGGTTTAAAGGAGGGTGCCGTAGTGTAATTCAGTTAGTTTCTTTTCTATCTTCAGTTCCGTGAGGAGATCTGATGTGACCCTCAGCCAAAATTTGTTTGTAATACTTTGTATTGCAATTCTACACAACATTTTTTTTTCGGGATTTTTTTCATTTCTTATTTTGTGCTGAGACTGCCCGTGACCCTGCCCAGGGGTCGTCCCCGGCTGGGCACCCGGGCATGTATCCGGGCACAAGTTGGGTGCCCAGGCGCCTGGGAAAGCAGCCTAGATGATATCCAGTTTTCTTCATTTTTTTCTTCCCCATTGCTTATTTTTGTATGGTCACCCTTTCATCAACTTCTCCTTTTTTTTTTTTTAAAGCCCAGGGTGTTGTAGAGGCCGGTTACTAGGCACACATAGATCGCCAGGAGCAGTCAGCCATGGTCGTCCTGAGGGAACGAGGATACCTTCCCATCCCATCCTCGCGTCAATACCCCTAGTGCACCCCCTATCTCTACTATCCTACCTCTGTGTGACCAGCACTCAGGAACGTTACCTCTACTTGGTATCGAGGGGAACTTGGACCGAACAGTAGTGACAGGCACCAGGGCTAGCCATGACCCAGCCCTGGTGGAAGCGGAATCGAACGAGCCTTGTCGCACAGGAACTCCAGACGCCAGGCCCAAGCAATCTCCTGCTAGCCCCTAAGTTGACCAACTGTTAACTCACACCCTCTACGAACCCACCACAGTCCTAGCTGATTTTAAGGCGGGGTATTTATCCTCGTAACGCCTATCATCATCATCAGTTAATCCAGACCGACCAGTGACTCACGCCCTCTACTCGCCCACCACAGCCCTAGTCTGCCACACACAGTCTAGCTGATATTAAGGGGGGTACTTATCATCGAGACGCCTATCATCATCATTAGTTGATCCAGACCAACCAGCGACTTACGACCTCTACTCACCCACCACAGACCTAGCTGATATTAAGGGGGATACTTGTCATCGGACACTTGTCTTCATTATCAGTTGATCGTGACCTCCTCCCAGCCCTATGGTTGTGTATGTGTATATGTACACTGTGTCTTAGATGTGTGCCCGTGGGCTATGTGTATGTTCGTAATGTGTATGTGGACCCGATTTCATAGCAGACGCTGCTCCCCACCATGGAGCATCTGCGAGGTGAGTACTGCGTACTGGTGAGAGGTGTTCTTATCACTTCCAAGTACATATGTGTGTGTGTACCTTGAGCTATGTGTGTGTATAGTATGTGTGTATGGTATGTGATAGACTATGAGCTATATGTGTGTATGGTATGTGATAGACTATGTATCGTGGTTGTGCTATCTGGGGTGTTATGTCTGTGTGTGGGTGTATATGATAGAGACAGGTCGATCTGGACAGGAGGCCCCCCAAAGTCCGGCACCGGACTCGAACCTGTGACCTACAGTATGAAACTGGAGGGTTCTACCACATGTACTGGATATAATGTGTGTAATGTCTGGGCTGGGGGAGATCATCAGAGCGACCAAAGCCAACAACGACTAGCAACCAACGTGAAGTCTAGGCCAGCATACAACACCCATGGACTGACCTCCGGGTGGTGCACAGGCAGTGTCTGTAATAGTACCGTGCGTCAGCCCAGGGGAGTGTGTGTCCAGCCGTGCGTCATTCTAGTGCCCTGCCGGTGTCCATGCACAAGGCTGTGGAGTTATGAACCCGCAACCCCATACCACAATGCGCACAAACCGGTGCTCTAACCACTGAGCTACATCAACTGGACACCCTTTGACCCTTTGATCAACTTAACTTCCTTCGTATGTATATTTGTGAACTTGGAAGTCTTTGGAACACCTCCTAAACCCCTTTACCGAACTTGCTAACTTTGCAAGACCCTCTAAACCTCTCGTCCTGATGTACGTTTGTGGCTGTAGGTACTCCTGGCACCACTGGAACGAGTGGGGGATCGTTGTTCGGGTTTGGCTCGACGCCTTCTGCGGTGAGTGCCAGCACAGCTCCCAAGTGACCTGACCATGCAAGTTACGGCTATGTAGTGCTTTCGGTGTGGAGAGCAGAAGGGTTGCTGCAGTTTAGACAGCTAAGAGCTCCAGTAGGGATTAGTTATGTCTTACCCAGCGCAGGTCTTTGCTGCAATCAGATGAGCTGCTTCGTTTTGTCTGCATGTGTGTCCACAGCCCAGTAATGTGCATGCATATTTTAGTAGTGGTGCTGTCTCAGCAGGTTCCATGTTCCATGTGTGCACTGTCGTGCACACTTCATCACAGCTCCTACCATTCTCCTCCCCATGTAGTACCCTGTGGATGTGGCATGCATTCACATGTCCTACAAAATTCTTTGTCAAGGAGGGGGAGGAACACAGAAAAGGAACAAGTGAGGGGAGAAAGAGGGTGAAAAGGCAGAAAAGGGATCGATAATGTGGGGCAGAAAGGGAACGCCAGTGTTCTCTAAATAAGGTTCTGTTCATAGCACTGGCGATGCTCCAGTGTGCATGTGCCATGGCGGAAGTGAGGAGGGAGACGAGCAGTACACATGCTTTCTTTCTCTCACATGTGCATGTGGATGCGTGCGAGCGAGCGCACGAGAGAGAGAGAGAGAGAGAGAGAGAGAGAGAGAGAGAGAGAGAGAGAGAGAGAGAGAGAGAGAGATCTGTTTGGGGACAATTGTGCAGCTAGAGGTACGAGGCATGTGAAATGATTACGGCCACAGCAGCACAGGTGTTGGTGAACAGTCTGTTCTGGCCTTAGTGCGCGAATGCTCAAGTTTTGCAATGCCCTGTGCACAAGGCATTTGTTGAGGGCATGGGTCTCTTTTAAAGCTGTTTATAGATCTGATTTTTACGGCCATAG